TTTCACCGACTCATCAGGAGGCTGAACCCTCAACAGTCTGCAGAATCCCCTCACTGATTACACTGTAAATGATAACCTACCTTAACCAAAATCAAAGTAGACTATCACTCACCCACACCAGATGGAAAACTCTACAGACTGTATATATATCATCAATGATTCATTATAGTATTACGGGGAACCGCCTAGCAGCCAGCCTGAATTCAAGCCTCCAACGAGGGAACATGGGGGGCCTGCACCCGACCTGCAGGTGGGCGATACCGGCCAGGGGTCAGCCGGTAGCATCAGGACCGAGCTTCTTCAATGGGTCAGCAGTCCCTCGCCCTACGAACATCACCAGTCTCTGCTCAACGTCATTCGGGGGGACCAACAGCCTACCTCTAGGTGGTGGGCACCAAGCTTGCCCAGGAAGGTACATGAAGCCAATGGTGGGGATTGAACCCAAGACCCTGAATACCACATGCGTGCCTTACCAACTGCACTACGCCACTGAATCGTTTTGAGATTTCCTCAAAGCTGACATAACCAATGTTATCGTTCATAATATTAAATGCCCAGGCCCCAAGGTCCCCCCCAAAAGAAGTAGCTTGTGTCACAGACTCTTTCCTCCTCTCCTCTTTTCTTTCTAGTATTTAACCAATTGTCTGGTGAAGGACCTGGAGGTCCATCTGTTGGAGGTGTAAGAGCCACCCTCAACAGTATAGTCCTAAAAAAACAAGCAAACAAGGAAGGATTCCATTTCACTCCGCACCGTGGAGCGACCGGTAGCGACGGGATATAATAGCGGAAACGCGTTTCGACCACTTCCACTTTTTGCACCATGTCATTGGTGTAGTGGCTAACAGTGCCAGTTCGATTCCATGCCCCGACAAACGACGGGCGCCACCAGCTATCGGGTAGTTCCCCTTGCACGATATTCCCGTCGATCGTCGATCGACGCTCATGCTCGCACACTGCCCACGTGGCTGCTCTCAGCACGTTGACTGGCGTGCTGTGAACAAACCAGTAGAAAAAAAACAGGTCGGCACGCGCCCTTAGCCAGTTCGACTCCATGCCTGGACAGATGGATGTACCGGGCCAGAAGCACTGATAGCATACACACTGGTGTCGAGTTGTGTGGCTCTAGGACCCACAGCGGATGGGTCTTTTTTCACTTTTTCAGTATGGTTGATAATCTTCCTGTGCAGCAAATTCTGTGTTGTTGTTTTTTTTTTTTTTTTTTTTTTTTTTTTGTTGTTGCAGATTCTCCTATTAGTCCAGTTGCCCACAGAAAAAGAAAATTCGCTGTCATCATCGGTATATACTTCTCTCAGATTTTGCATTTGGTTGAAATGGGCAATACTTGGAAGTTGGAACTAAACTGAAGCTGAGAGAGAGACTTATTTGGTGCGGCGGCGGCCATTGATGTCTCTCAGGCC